GGGCAAATTGAAAATAATGTTGTACCTTGATTTAAATAAAATAACAAAACGGCCCCAACGTGCCCAGACACAAAAAGCAATTCGACGAAAAACTAAACATAAATTCACACAATACCAATCTAGCTTCACTCACAGGGAGTGTTTGTTCATCTGTGTGTGTGTGTGTGTGTGTGTGTGTGGGCTAAACTGGAGTCATGAACTTTGTTTTTTATTAGCGGCAGGATATCGGCATTGGCTCTCTAAACATATACATACATATATTTATATGTTAATTCGTTTGCGTTAATTGGAAAACAAACCCCAAAGCAACAGCAACTACTGCAACAGTCAACAGGCAACAGGCAACAACAACAACTACAACAGCAACAGCAGCAGCAGCAGCATCAAGTTGAAACAGAATTCCACACTGAGCTAAAATTTATTTTTAAGCAGACATTTTTGTGTATTTATTTATTTATTTTGCCGCTGGCAGCAAACAATTTGTAATCGTTGTTCTGCTGCCTGCCTGCCTGCCTGCCTGCCTGCCGTTGACAAGGAAAATGTTGCAGCTGTGGCACGCGAAAGCTGCAAGCAAGTCACCCAGCATCCTCCACCTACCCCTCTCTTTATCCATCGGTCTGTCTGCTTTGTCCCGCCTGCCGCCTTAATTGCACTTGCAAGGAAGCGGCACAAAATATGCTTATGTGTACAGCTTTTGTTGAAGCCAACGAGCAAAACAAGTGGCAAATACCAATGACGTCGATCGTGGGGCGATTGCAATGCAAATTGCTTACGATATGTTGATTCCAATTGACGCATTCATGTCTCTGGCATTAAAATTCCAAATTCCAACAACTGTTGCAAACTTAACTAGCTTGGTTTTTCAGGGATTTGAAAGGTTTCGTTCACTGAGTGCACTCAGGAAAACAATCGCCCTGCTCTTTAGAAAATCGTCCCAAAAAAATAAGAATCTATCTGAAAACTAGAAATTTGTTTTTGTTATTAGAAGTCATTCACTAAAATACGAAGAAAAAAAACATCTTTCAATTATAAATGCTTTTTTCATATTTCAAAAATACATTACATAATACAAATTATTTCTAAAAATATGAAACTGCGTTTTTTTTCCGAGTGTGGAAAGTTAAAAACTGCGCTTTAACTTTAGGAAATTGTGAATTCAACAACTTAGTTTTCAGCAACACACATTGTTAGCCAATTATTCGATTGCTTCGATATAATTATATATGCACATTCATATATATTGTGCTAATCCTAAGCGATGGCATATTTAACAATCAGCAATGGATTTCCACGTATTATGGGCGCTTCCAGAGAAGAGAGTGTGAGCAATTTATGAAGGCATAAAACAAAAGTTTATACCGAACGGGAAAATTTAATGATCGCTTCGAGCATTTAAACAGAAAATGTTTATAATTAGATGCTACATGCAAGTACCAAGTACCAAGTACCAATTGCCAAGTAGCCAACCAGTGAACTGGGTCAATTGGAATAGGTCAATGCGTACCAAAATGTTTGATAATTGCAGACACTAAAAAAAAAAAACAAAATAATTAAATATATGTCCGGCTGTAAATTATTTGTACGTAACGGAAAAGAACTGTACTGCTATATGGCTTATATCGTAAAATATACATGTTTACGATATTATTCAATCAATATGCATTTCTCTCACTTTTTTATTACTTTGCACACTTCGATCTTTTACCCCAAGAGCCGGCTAACAATCGGTAAGCATTGTGTTACTACAAGAAATGATTACTTTTAATTACCAGCGCATACACGTAAACAGAAATTTGTGAATCGTGATAAATCACGAACACACGAACACATATACACAAATACGTTAACATACCGCAACTGAACATGGCCACAAACACCAAAACAATTTTGCGATGAAATTGTCAAATTGCAGCGCAAAACGCAAAAGCAGCAACCACAACCGCAACGCACACCAACAAGCTGGGGGATCGGGAGGCAGGGAGCATAGAGCTGGGAGCAGGGAGAAACAGGAAGCGGGCTGGACGCACACAATCACAATCACACACTAAACCGCAATGCCCCATCCTATTGCCCCCCTCGAATTCACGTTGCTCTCAGTTATCGCTGCCACACGGACATCCAATTCAATTCGCAATTTTTGGTAACTGAAAATCACAACGATGCGAGGGCAATCAATCATAGAACGATGAAATGTCGACGAGCGCAAAAGGAAAGCAAAATTCAAAACGCTGCCAGGTCACGGCCAATGGACATCAAACATCGAACACCAGACAACGGACAACGGACAACGGACAGCGGACAACGAACATCGGGAATCGAAAATGGACAGTGAACATAGAACAACATTGAACAAGCAATACAAACAGCAATCACAACACAAAAGTCAACGCTAAGGCGATTTTGGCTGGCTCTTCTTCTTGCTAGTCGAGGTTTTCTTCCAGCAGCAAAATAAGGGATTTTAGAATAGTCTTCAAAATAAAAAATAGCTTTTAAATGCAGAAGAAGAAGAGAGAAAGAACATTATTTATGGATGATCAAAAAAGTTATTTAAATTTTAGGAAATCAATTTTTTTAATAGAACATAGCTCTCAAAACTTGAAGATGGTTTGGTTTGTCACGAAAGGATTTTTAATCTCAGTAAATATTTGGTTTTTTTGCAAATATAACATAACTCAAGAAGGTAGAAGTAGAGAAAATCATTATATTTGGCATATCAAAAAATTGTGTTTGATTTGGAAAATATATTTCTTCGAATTTTCTTTAAAATACGACATAGCTGTAGCTGAAGAATAAATTTTTTGTTTCTCAGTGAGGTTTTAATTTTCAAGATTTCGTAAGTGAAGAATTTATTTTCAGAGAGCAGAAAAGCTTTATGGGCGATTTTCTACATTTTGTGGCGATTAATTTTTTGTGATTGTAGACATGGCCAACGTGTTTGAGCTGAAACTTAATTAGAAGGCCCAGCTGATGTTGCAGATGCAGATACACAGACACATATACAGATGCAGATGCAGATGCAGATACAACGATGCAGCTAACAACTGACAATTTGACTGTATTCGTGGCTAAGTTTTTGGGTTCACTTATCAAATTTGAAGTTAATTACCAATCGGCAGCGGCATCGGCATCGTATTGCGTGGCTCAGATAGCGCCGTGGCTTAATGAACAGTTAAATGCATAGGTTTTAGAGCGCATTTTGTAATCTCCGAGAGAGATAAAGATAGAGGTGAACACGAAATCGAAATACTGGTCCATAAATCACGTTGCATTCGGCAGCAGAGTCAGCAGCCCAGTCAGTAAGTGTGTCATTAAAATTAATTATCTAGCATTTTATTTTAACACCGTGCTTTGGAAATGGAAATGGAAATGGAAGCCGAACCTATTGTCATAAAGGCGCTCGATCCTCAGACGGATGGACTTGGCTTGGAGGCTTGCCAATTAGCCACACACCGTGCTGAGCTTTGCATTTTTTGTATTTTGTTTTCCTTTTTGTAGCTAAATATTTACACAAAGCTTTTGTTGATGATTCTGCCAAACAAACACATACTAGAGCTACACACACACACACACACACACACACATGCACCTCTATATGTATGTTGATATTGTACTAGATGGCCTCGACAGCTCGACAACTCGACTGCTCTCAAATATTTGCGCTGACATAACTTTGTCTGCGGCTGGCGCGCGCCCATTTCAGCAATGTGAAGCGCTGAGTGGGAGATGGTGAGAGAGAGAGAGAGATGTTGAGAGAAAGAAAGAGAGAGGGCGAGCAGCAGCAGCAGACGACAGGCAGTCGCTTTGTCTGCGCCTCACAATGTGTGAAAGATAATTATAACATGTGTGCAGTCACACACACACACATATACACACATACACACACACACACACAGAGTATGGTTAGGTGGACAGTTGTAATGCTGGAACAAGCTTCAAGTTTTTTTTTCTATTTTTTTTTTTGTGTCTGAAAGCGTTGGCCTGTGGCATTGACAGCTTCAACTTGGCGTGCAGCTCGAACCGAGCTAAAGATGCCAACACAGCAGTCGCCATCTAATGTCAATAGCAAAACTGTTTGCAAAAGGCAAAGCATGAAATTAACACACACAACGAATTTTGAATACGCTTTCCAAGCTATGAAGCTTAGAATATGTATATAAATTATACATGTTATGGGTTGGTTCGTTTGCAAATGATGCCTTGCTTAATGTTCATTTTGGGCATATATATATCAATAGCCAACAGAGACTTTCTATATAGATTTTTCTATTGACTCCATATGTACTTAGCAAAAAATTGCAGAAATTACAATTATTGAGATATCATCTTATTGAAAATGAAAATCCAACATCAAAACTGACTCCAGATGTACCTAGTCGAAATGCAGCTCTGTCCAAAATTATAGTAGAAATTACAATAAAAAAATTAAATTGATGTAAGAAAATATTAATTAAAGTCGTTTTTATTTTATAAAATTGCTTAGTACTTTATCGATTAGAAGAAGAAGGTTCGCTTCATGCTTGCATCGACTTCAACGTGTTCAGCTTAATCCGCATTGTGGCTAATCACAAAATGATCTTAGCCAGATGATGGATAGAGTAGATTCCAGCATAAAGCCACGACCAGTGGCGATGGTCGTTCTGTCTGATTTCGATGATTGCTCTTAAAGCCGATCAAACAAATCAATCCGTCGTATAAATTATGCAATTGATGCCAATGTCCCGCTAGAAAAATGACATGCCTCGGCCCCATCGATGCCAGCACTCAGCAGCCAACCCAGTCCACACCAGCCCATCTTTTGCCCCATCGATTTACTCTTTGCTTTTCATTTATTTCCATTTATTGCATTTCCAGTTTTTTCTTTTGTGGGTTCTGTTAGAACATCGCTAGTTGTTGTTAAGACGCAGTTAGTAGTCTTAACAGACAAATGATATTTATATGTGTGTATGATCTATTTCTAATTGTCTTTTTTATTTCCCTCTTCCTCTTCCCCTCTCTTACAGTGTGTAATTGCAATAATCATGCGCGTCAATGCCGCTTCAATATGGATATCTTTCGACTGTCGGAGGGCGTCTCGGGCGGCGTTTGCCAGAATTGTCGTCATTCGACAACTGGACGTAATTGTCATCTGTGCAGGGAGGGCTTCTACAGGGATCCCAGCAAACCGCTTGGTCATCGCAAGGTGTGCAAAGGTGAGTCAACATTAATTAATTATCAATTATGACAAAAATTAAAAATGAATTCGAAATATTGTATTTTACATACAAATTGAATAAGCCAAAGATACAAAATAAAATAATTAATTAAAAATGTAGAAAATAATTTATATTAAAATTCAATTCAGTTTATAGTGACTTTATGTAGCGAAATATTGCATTTATTATTATTATCAACAACAAGTTCAAAGGCTACAGATTAAAATAGAATACTTGATTAAAAATTCGGAAAATAATTAACATTAAAAATCAATTCAGCTTAGAGTGACTATTAAGCCAAATCCACTACTCGTAAATCAATTAACTGTTGACACACTCATACAAAAAAAAACTTCAATAAATAAATATAAACAAGAAACAAAAGAAACTCATAAATAAATATCAATACGATATATATAAATTTACATTAATTAGCACAAATTAATGTCCATATCTCGTAGCGCTCTAACGGAATCTAAATTTTCCAACCTTAACACAGCGACCTTTGTAAATATTTCATATATAATTTATGTGGGCGATAAATTTGGCGCATTTGCCAATCGATGGGCAATTAAGGAAAAAACCGAAAAGACAAAGAAATAAGAATGCTGCCTGACTGCAAGATACGCTGTGCCCATCTCATAATTATGTTACTGAATGTGTTTTTTATCTGAGCGTTAGAACAGATGCAACTTGTGTATAGCCTGAAATATGTATGAGTACAGGGTATAGTTAGAGAGAGCAGCAGGAACTGGGCATTGTGGCATTGTAATTTATGAACTGGCAATAATTTTCACTAGACGCCCAATCAGCTCGTCCAAGTAAGTTGGCCAGCTCGAGTCAAACAACAACAGGAGCAACAACAACAACAACAACAGCAGCAGATGGCTGGCTGGGCAATTACTATTTTTGGCTCACACAAAAACACACACGCAAAATCGTTTCCATCCATCTAAATGGGCGTATCGCATCAGAACTGACGTCTGCACAAAATATTCAAATTTCGTGTGTCCAATTGGCAAACAGCATTCTGTAAATAAACAAAAGATTTACTTAAGTAGTACACCAACGAAAAAAAAAGAAAAGCAAATAAACAAACTATATATTGCCCACAAAATATATTGTATGCAAGTAATGGGTATCAGTTGTTGTTGTTGTTCTTGTTGTTGTTGTTCTTGTTGTTGTTTGTTGAAGTTCCTGTTGTGCTCGAGCTCAGTGCCCAGCTGTGAATTGCGCATACGACGCCTTGTCCCATTTGTCATCATTTTTCAAATGACATCGCTGCTGACTAAGCATCATAATTCTGAAAGCCGTTAAACCAAATCAAAATCTTATCGATTTTTAATTAATTATACGACACAACAACAACAACCGAATTTACAAGGCCAGCTAAATGTGCAAATCGTAAATAAGTTAAGCAAGCAACACACACACACACACAACACACACACACACACACATTCAAAGCTTTGCTGAGTTGAAAAGTTGGCGTCGGCTTCTTTTTACAGAATTTTATTTGACTTTTTTTCCGACATTTTTGTCGGTTTGGAGTTGTTTCTTTTTTTTGTTTTATGTGCGCATCGTTGAAAGAAATTTATTCATTTTAATTTTGACACGCTTGCAATTTGTTTAAAACATTTTTGCATTGCGGTTTCACATTTACTCGCATTGTTGTTCAGGCTGCTCTGATTGTTGTTGTTCTTGTTGTGATTGTTGGCAAAATGTTTTACGTCATGTTTTTTGTTTCGTTTCTTGCTTTGTGCCGTGGCGCCCATTTAGAGAGGTTGGCTTTCAATTAGTCAACTGTCTTAGCCTGTCTGGACTTGTCCGTACTTGCCTTGGCCAGCCGGCATGCTTAATGCAAAATTTGCGGCGCATTCCCATTGCGAATACTTCAGATCAAGCAGACAAGCAGCATTGGGATCAGCACACCAAGAAAATAGCATCCGGTTGACGCAATGGACCCCATAACAAGTGGCTCAGCTCACATGGCGATGAAATGTTTCTTTGATGCATGTGAATTGATAATGAAGCAAACATTTTCGAAAGCCATTTGCACAGATAAATACTTTTTGTATATATAGAAAAGTACCTTGAAGAATCAAAATTTTAAACATTTTGCAAAGCTTTTTCTTGAGAATACAAACAACACAATACAAATAAAAGAGCTGCAACTAAAAGATTTTTACTACGAAAAATGTGAGACTGCTGAATTTCATACGAATGTACAACTACTGACAAATGATTTGCACAGATGACTTGTTGAAAACATTTTACTTAGAACCCACTTTTAAGACGAATCAATTCGCAATGTTGAGTTTCCTAATAAAATGCTGGCAAGAAGCAGAATACAAATTTAAAGAAAGTGCATTCCACGAATCAAATCAAATAAAAATGTAAGCAACTTCTTAGTAGCCTATTACTCAAGACTGTTTTATTATTATTAATATTCTTTAATGCAAATATAAATAGTTTTTGTGTATGCCAATATGAATAGGCCCCTAGCTTAGACTTAGTCTAGTGATAGGGAAAATAGATTACAGAGCTAACTAGCACTTTAACAATTTATTTCTCTGATTATTGATAATACTTACCCAACTTAATTACGAATTTGATAACTGATTTTGGGTATGACTTACATAAATAATTTAAATAGATGTGCTTTTTAAGATTTCCTTATTATACTAGGGAGACTCCTAGTTTTACTATTATACAGATGAAAGGTTTAATGAGATTTTTAAATTTTTCTATTATTATTAAAAATATATTCTAAACCACATTAGCTTTTACATTCTTCACATTATGCGACTCGGTTATTTAATGAAACTCATTATAAGATAAATGTTTAATTATTATCTTACTTGTATATGTATATCAGTTCGCCCTCTGAATTTGCGACTTATTTCTTATGAGAAATCATAAGTTTGCTCGCAGATTGCAAATCACGCGTCTCTCGCATGTCTCGCATTATAATTAACGCCTTAGGGCAAATGCCGAGTGAAGAGAGACTTCCGGGCCAGGAGTGGAGTCGACATTGCTTTCGTTGCTGATGCACAGTTATTGTTGTTGCTGTTTGCCATGATTTCGATTTAATTTAAATATTCAAATGATTTACTTGAGCCGAGCAGACATGAGCAAAATAAAGCAGACGTTGCCAGCCATAACTCATCAGACAAGGGTGGTCCAGGGACGGTGGGTGCCGACGTTGCGGGCTGTCCAAACGGATGCACAAGCAAACCATTACACAAACATGCACACCCACACACACACACACACACGCACACACACACATACACACACACACACATATACATGCCCCGACATGTTGTCAAAGTCATTTTGGGTTTCGGCTCAGCCAATTTCCTTATTTGCGCAAATATTTCAATGACCGGAAAATTACATACTATTTGTCCAATGAGGGATTGCAAGACACACACACACACACACACACACACACACAGACACACACACACGCACGCACACTCACACAGCTGTAGATGTCTGACCATTATTCATAATAGTTTTGTGATTGTATGTTGTGTGGTTGCTGCTGTTGCAGATCTTTGGATAATTAAAAGCAATGCCCACCCCAAAAAGTAGGCATTGCTTTTTATGTCACCGCAGCGACATCATTAATTTTATGCGCCGTGCAACACCAAGAAAATACTTGACACCAGATGCTACGAACCCTAGCTGATATACTACTCTATATGTGTACCTTCAAAATGAACTTGTGATGGCGACAATTTGAGAAAGTTTTTTTCATTACAAGTCCATGTTTAGTAATTATGCTCTGCTTAGCCTATAAATGCAAAAGATGCAGAAAATTGCCAGTGCCTGTACTTGTGTTGTGACTCTGCAACATGACACGAACTAGACACACATATATGAGTATATACAAAGAGCGTTTCGGGTGGGGCAAGGGGAATGGAATGGAGTGGCATCCATGAATACAATTAACAATATCCGTAACTAAATACGTGAAATTAAAAGCCATAAAATCACAAAGTCACGTGCGAAATATAACAGCGACAGCAGCAGCAACATTCACAGCAACAACAGCAATTAAAATAATGTCATGAATTACCTATGCGACACACACAGAGACAGACACACACACACACACCCATACACACACACACACATTACACACAACCGCCGCACGTAGAGAGGAGCAACTTTTTTTACTGCCCATTTTGTGCCAAGTTCATGAAACGCAGCCGCTGCCAACATAATCATTAGACAGCCAGCAGCAGCTGCATGGGGGTTTGTGTGTGTGTGGGTGTGTGTGTGTGTGTGTGAGGGTGTATCTTAGGGGTTGGGCATGTTGGACTATCACTCAAACATCATTAGAATTTCATAAAATACGCCTTGCAACTGTAACAAATCGGTTAAAGGCCAACTGACTTAATTGAATGCCAGGCCAAAATGCATTTATCATCAGGCTAACAAAAAGGGGGAATGCTGCCAGCCACTAAGTCTGCACGGTTTTAAAAACTAAGCTACAGAAATCTATTACAACTATGTGAGGGGTGTATGTGGGGCAGCTTGAACTAAGCGGCGAGGCAAATTTTACGCTGGCAAAGCAATAAAGTTGATGCCAGCAACTCGACGAGAATGCTCGACTATGAGATATACCGTGTAGCCACAGCGCAGCTTGACATTATTGTTTGTTCATGCTCTTGAAGACAGTGGAGCGTGAAATTGGAAGACTCAGCAAATAATAATAAAATACCTTATATTAAACGTATTTAAAGTGTGAGACTTATTATTATAAATATAGCAACACCTCAATTTCTGATTTGATTTATCGCATTCGCAGAAAAACGAGCTTTGAGTTTTCCATTTGAGTATGCAATCAGATTCATTGATTGGCAATTGTAAAAAAGATTGGGATATTCCTGTAATAGTATCTGCAGTTCATAAATCAATTGATAATACCAATATTACCCAAAAGCAGACAGCATTCCTACACTCAAAGTAAATAATCACCCTGA